ACACACCAATCAGTATCCTAAGCGTGTTCTGCAGGGTCTATGCTTCTGCTTGGATCAGTTCTGAATCGTATCAAAGATGGTTGCTCTCAAATCTGTTCCTCACCGTGGCTGCTAAGACAGCTAAGTCGTCATTTTTAACATGATCCGACATGGGAGCAGGTTTAAACCTTGCCCAAAGTTCTGATCCATGCTTGTGGCTTGCTGGCGGGACACACCAAGAGACAAAACATCTTTCAAGGCAAGGCAGCCAATGAAGAACAGGTTCTTATCGGCCGTGGTGCTCAGCATTCAACTCGCATCTGCTAAACATGGCGCCCCCTGAAAAAGATTTCCATGGCACACTCTATTCTTCCATCTTTGATTCAGCCAGATTGACTGGATGGCCACCTTGACCAAACCCAGCACAACTGTCGAAGGAAAGACAAGATATGGCCGTGGTGCCCAGCATTCAAACTCGCACCTGCTAAACACGGCGCCCCCTGAAAAAGATTTTCCATGGCACACTCTATTCATATTCTTCCATCTGAGATTCAGACAGAGAGACCGGATGGCCAACTTGACCAAACCCAGCACAACTGCCGAGGGAAAGAAAATTGATGCAAAACACACCAATCAGTATCCTCAGCGTGTTCTGCAGGGTCTATGCTTCTACTTGGATCATTTCTGAATCGTATCAAAGATGGGCAACAGGGCCAACATGGAACTTGCCAACAGAAATCGGGGGCATCAAAGATACCGGGCTGCGAAGAAATTGCTGCTGAAGGTCAGGATTTGCTCAGTCCCACTTGCACATCCTTCAGGGCTGCGAATTGAATCCCATAGGTGCACGCTAGCTGAGCATCGGAAGGCTATGCGAACTAGTATGAGGGGGAGGTGGAGTAGGGAGGGCAGGCATGACAAACTCCGTGTTTGGCACCAGCTGCCACCTACATCCCTTGCCAGGCCAAAGCAAGAAACAACTCTATTTGGCTATGGCTAGCTGTCGTGAAAAATCCTTGGGCTGTCGCAGGCCCTAGAACGGTTGCAAACATGTCCTGGCAGCAGCCACATCAATCTCTACTTCCGGAGTCTGCCGCAAGTGCGTTGACTTCAGGCGCGGCAACACATGTGCAGTAGATCTTTTACAAACGGCCTCTCCAGGTAACCAACAACCCTTCCAGGCAACTAACAACCCTTTCAGAATTTGGTCAGTCACTATATGGCGAAAATTTGCATATCATCTAGTGACTTGTTTTCTGTCTGATTCTGTCTTACAATTGCTGACTGAAAATTGTTGACTGTGAATTGACGTGAAAAAACCACCCAAGAACGTGAAAAATCCCTTGCTAAATAGCAAGAAAAAACTCCATTTGGCTATAGGCTCGTGAAAATCCTTGGGCTGTCACAGGCCCTAGAACGGTTGCAAGTATGTCCTGACAGTTGCCACATCAATTTTTTGGCCTTGTTTTGGCCTTCGTTGTTTTTCCATAAGATTTTTTCATCGGGAAACATGTGTTTTCGCGACAAACATGTGCGCGAAATGGAAGGAAAACTTTGAGGAAGGGGGGAGAAACATGATATGAACGGTCTCAATTACAAATATCACAACTCCTTACCAGGACCTTGAGATCAACTCATTTCGAAGCTCCTCACGGACATAGACGGCGTTTGAACCATCTACACGACAGACGTGTCTAATTGATGCATCCTTGGAAACAGCGACCGCGCCAGAATTTCGTCGATCACCCAGCTTGAAGTAAGCAAATGTGACTGTGAAGTTGTGTCATCACCATAGCTACACCTGTTGTGCTCACAAATTGCGACACAACTACAACTTGAACCAAAAAGCTGCAATGCTGCAATGTGACGAAACTGCCCCCAGAACTCCACTGCATATCCGCTGCATATTGAGCTAGGCACTGCTGACTCTGGTTGGTATGACTTTTGAAAGACAAACGAATAACAGGCATACTTTCACCACATTTCCAGATCAGCTTAACACGAAAGAACGAAATATCCGCTGGTTCGGACCCGAGGGTCTTTGCTTCCCGGCCCTCCAACATGTAGAAAGCTGGAATAAACCCTCCCATGGATACATATGGATACTATAGATTTTCATCACACTACTGATGAATTTGATTGTAATGGCCCTCCGATTGGTGTCTTTGCTCTGCCCCTAGGTTTCGAACACGTTCAATTAATTAACCGCCCCATTCAACTTACTTGGGCTACCATAGTCTGGCCCAGTCGGTGGCCCCAAGCCTTTATCAGGACATAGGTCACGTGGGTGCCCTCGGAACCCTTACTCTCAGTTTCACTTGGGGTTTGACAACACGTTGCCCTCAAAACTTGGTCCAGCATCAGTTTCCTTCAAGTTCATTCATGACTCACGTTCATTTGCTTCCCCCATGCAAAGGAAAACACTTTTTTGGACCTCGTTCCATTTCTTTTGGGCCTGAACGCTTTTCATGGACCTTACTACACTTCTTTTGGAGATGGCTGGCCTTCTTTTGGACCTGCACACCCTCCTGCTGGACTCCTGGACCTGCGCACCCTCCTGCTGGACCTGGCCCTTCGCCAAACCACACCCCCTTTAGATAGATTCTCCAAGCCCTGTCTTGATCGCAATTCTTCAGACAGTAGGGGGCTAGAGCTGCGCTACCATGCAACATGGCAGGAAACATTTCAGTACATTGTGTGGTTCAGTGCCTCCTTCCCTTTTCTGCCCTCTTCTCAGCTCCTACTTTTCACACCTCTTCCGGCCTTTCTCAGTTACGCAGGGGCTCAACTTGGTGTCTACCTGGATGAAAGTGCCTCGCTTGGAGACATTCACCTGGTTTCAATATCTAAACTTCCCCCCTTGTGCCTCTTATCAAACTTCCTACATTTCCTGCACGCATTAAGTTTCAATATCTATACTTCCCCCCTAGCCTTTCTGCAACTTCCTGCGTTCATCTTGTTTCGATATCTAAACTTCCCCCCGGTGCCCCTCAACAACTTCCTGCATTCATGTGGTTTCATAAGTTTCATAAGTGGCACCCCCGTGGCCTCCCCGCAATTTCTTGCAAGCATCTTGCTTCAAAATTCTGAAGCTCTCACACACCTGTTCCTCTCAGCAACTTCCTGCATTCACGTGGTTTCAATATCTAGGCCTCTCCCTGTCGTCTCTCCACAACTTCTTGCATGCATCGTCATCTGGACTCAATATCTTTGCGCTCATATGGTTTGAATATCTATACTTCCCCCTGGCGCTAGCCTCTCCACAAACTTCTTGCGTTCATCTTGTTTCAATATCTAAGATTCCTTCCCGGTGCCCCTCAGCAACTGCCTGCATTCATCTTGTCTCAATATCTAAACTTCCTCCCCGGTGCCCCTCAGCAACTTCCTGAAGTCATTTGATTTCATATCTGGTTCCCCCGTTGCCTCTCCGCATTTTCTTGCATGCATCTAGCTTCTAAATCTAGGCTTCCCCCCTCGTCTCTCCACAACTTCTTAATTTGGGTTCAATGTCTAGGCTTCACCCGTCATCTCTCAGCAACTTATTGCGCTCATCTTGTTTGAATATCTAACTTTCTCTTCCCCCCAATGTGCCTTTCAACTTCGTGCATCCATTTGGTTTCATATGTAGGTTTCCCCCCGTTGGCCTCTCCACAACTTCTTGCCTTGATGTTGTTTCATGTTGTTTCAATGTCCGAATTTCTCCTGCACCCCTGTGCCTCTCAGCAACTTCCTGCATGCATTTGGTTTCAATATCTCGGCTTCCCCTGGCTCTCAACAACTTCTTGCGCCCATCTGGTTTCAATATCTAACTTCCCCCCATGGGCCTCTCATCAAACTTCCCAAACTTCCTGCATTCATTGGGTTTCAATATCTATGCTCTCCAGGGAACAGCGCCCCTCTCCCTGTGACACATTCAGTTTCCCACCTCCTTCCCATTCTGCCTTCTTCTTCTCAATTTCTACTCTTCACACCTCTTCCGGCCTTTCAGTTGCGCAGGGGCTCAACTTGATGTCAACCTGTGTGGACGTGCCCCACTTGGGGGCATTCATCTGGTTTCAATATCTAAACTTCCCCCCGTGGTACCTCTCAGCACTGTTGGTCTCAAGACTTCCCCTCTGGCCTCTTAACAACATTTTGCATGCATTTCAACTTGGTTTCAATCTCTAGGCCTCCCCCTTGTCTCTCAACAACTTCTTGCGCTCATCTGGCCGGTTTTAACATCTAACTTCCCCCCTCTGCCTCTCATCAAATGTCCTAAACTTCCTGCATTCATTGGGTTCCAAAGGTCTCGGCCAAAAAGTCCTTGAGGAACGGCGCGTAGTTCCAAGGGCCAGCCAAAGGTCAGGTCCTTAAGTGAAATCTCAACGGTGGAGCAATGCAAAGGCCGGGAGCGTATCGCTCCGCTACCACTGCAGCGAGCACTCAGAGGTGTATTGGGCTCACCCTTCCACCAAATCACTTCCCAAAAAAGTCGCCTCGAGGCCGTGGGGGATTGAAATGAAGTAGTTGGATCAGCGGAGCACCAGAAGAGCGGCAAGGCTCTGGTTTTGCTATGAGCGCACGGCTCAGCATACCATGTCAGCCGCAGCAATTTCAGCAGGAGCTGTACGAAACAAGGCGCCCCTGACAGAGCCAAGAGGCGGAGGTCGCATCGGTTATCATGACCTGACAGCGGATGGTTTAGACATCGCCGCAGACACCCCATTTTCTTGTCCAGACTCACTTGAGAGTTCGTACCATTTTCGCGGACTGCGGGAGAGCGGCACAAACCCCTTCGCGGCCAAGAGCCTCTCACATTCTACGAAACGATCTCGCGGGCACTTCCGGTCTAAATGAACCCGTCCCGAACTTAAAGACTCCAATCATCAAAAGATAAAAAGAATTGACAAGCTGATCTTTTGTTTCAAACCTTCCGGATCGAAAACAGTCTGAAACCTCTTACATCATCTTACATCATCTTACATCTCTTTTTTTCTGCTATTTTGTGCCCTTCAAATCTCACACGCATCCGTCATCATCCGTCACATGTCCAGCTCGTAGTGCCAGTCTTTGATGCGATCCAATTGGGCCCAATGCTCCGGCAGCGACAAGATGTTGTTGGCGCCTGAGGGCCACATAGGGCACCGAAATTGGTCAACTGCTGAATTTAGATCCTTCAATGCATCACTCGACTGATTGAATCATTTATTTACGTGAGGATAGATTGATTGAATTGACTGGCTGAGCAGTTGAGGGCGTAATGATCTTGATCAGCCCCTGATATCTTTCAACATCTTCAACCGCCGCTGCCCCGTCCGAGTGGCAGATGTGTCCGCCCATGGCGGCAGAGGGCACGCCGATGCCGGGGTAGGTGGAATCCCCGCAGATGTGGAGGCCTGGCTGAAGCGCTGAAACTAAGATGGCAATTTGGAAACCTCGGATCGACAGGAAATGACAGCAGGAAAATGAGCTTCAAATGGTGAAGTGTCCATTTCCGGGTTAAATGTGACAGGGGAAAGTGAATGCACTTCTGACAGAATGGTTGTCACCATTCAGGCACCGATTCCAACTGGGCTGGACATTCATCCCATGATCTGGTGGAAATTCCCAAGATTTTCCAACAACAAAGTTAAGTATCGTTAGAAAATCTTAGCAACCTCTGGCAAAAATATGGTTGCCTGGAAAATCGCCAATTCGATGATCTTCCCATTCAAATTAGCCTATGTCTACCGGATTCGCCGGATGGCCATGTACAATGCTTACCTGAGGGATCCGGATCTCAGATCTTCAACCCATTTGGGTTGTCTGAAAATCGTGTACCCATTTATATCCTATATGGCATATAAACCCATTGGTTTCCCATCATTTTCCCTATAGAAATGGCCATACGAAATGTCCAAAAATGTTCAGGTCCCCCGGGGCCGGAAGCACCACTGGTGGCCGACCTGGAAGGGGCGTCTTGTGGCCTGGGAGGTTGGCACCTGCCAGCACCTGAGGCATGCCGCTTTTGCCATACAGAAAATGTCTAAGGTTCTGCAAAAATACGCATGATAGGTGTATATTATGAAAAGATTGGGAGAGCACAAGGTGTACACACTATCTTTTCCCTCACAAATCAAAAGCTCAAGTCTGGCTACGCCGCTGTAAGTGTTAACAGGTCACATTGTTATTAAATAACAATGGGTCGAAAAGAGGTTGGGTATCACAGATAACCCTTACACTCTTAAAGGTTAGGGTCAAAGTAACACAGAATACTTTTGACACCTACCAAACCCATAGTAAGAAACAAATCACCCACTGTTAACACTACCTATCGGCGCAGCCAACTGGGCAAGAAAACTAGCGGGATCGCTAAGGAGAGGGAAAGCTCTGAGACTTGCCACGATTGGGCTAAAGTCCAGTCGTCAAGGAGCCCGTCACGGGACAACCCGTCAGCCGGATTGGACGAGGAGTCGATCCATTCGACCCAAGTCCTCATCTGGAGCTCGTGGAACTGCAAGTGCGCTTGCTGGACCAGGATCAAGACGTCCGGTTCGGCAGTAGACACCCTGATAATGGCGCTAACTGCAGCTTCATTATCAAAGAACCACAGCACGTCTTGGCCACGAAGAAGGTTCGGGCACAGTGCTGGGACGACCACGGCCGCAAGGGTCTCTCCAGGATATATCTGCTGAGTCCGAGGCTTCCATTGAGAGATTACCCATGGGGGGACAACACAGGTCCCACCCACAGGCACGCCCACCGGAGGGAAAATCACCCATCCCAGGCGGAGGACCTCGTTCTCAAAGGATGCATCGGAGTAGACGCGGGTGACGACGTCCATACAAGGGTGGACTGGGATGTCACGCGGTCTTGCAAGCGCCACAGCTCGACGGAGGACCTCTAATTGACGCCTTTCAAGGGGTTGAAGCTCCGGTTCGTTGCCGAATTGATGTGCTGATAATGTAGGTCTGGCCAGTTTACCAAGGTGGCCAGAGCACATAGTGAAGAGCCAAGTGATGTCGCCGCGGAGCTTGCCTGCATCATCTCTGGACAGGCGGTTCGTCAACAAAATGTCGTCCAACTTGGCGAGGACCTTGGCAGTGGTGGCGGCCTTGGGCTGGACGCGGATGATGCCACAGGAGGTGGTGTCGCCCGTACCCAAGTAGTGCCTGTTAGCCGTCGGCTTGAAGCCTTTCTCTGGTTGGGGGTTAGCACCCATCAACTGGAAGACTAAGCGCAGGCCTACTTGGGAGACATCCGCATCGGTGATGGCTTCCATCGAGAGCTCATCGTCAAAGTACGCTGCTCCCAGGCTAAGTGCACACCGTCTGGCGATTGCGATACCCAGTTGAGGGAACCTGTTGAAGGCGACGACCGCGCTCTCCAAACCGAACGCCAGGCCCCAGAGTTTGGTAAATCGCCAGCCCAGCTCAGGGACGAAGATCGCCACGACGGAAAACCTCTGATGGTCTGGGTGGACTGGTAGGCCACGGTAGGCGTCAGGCAAGTCGTCGGTCCCCAGTCGGATCCTGACCCAGTCAGGCAAACTGGGAGCCGGCCCATGCTCATCAGAGGAAAGTCGCCGGCAAAGAGATGCGGCTACGGAGGCCACAAAGTCGATGCTGACCGTGAAGATCGTCTCGGCCATGCTGGTGTGGGCATTGTGTAGGGTGCGACGTCCATTGTCAATCATCCTCTTCTTGTTGTCCGCTTGCACAATCTGGAACCGCTCTAAAGGGCGCCATTGACCCATGCCAAATTGCCGGTCCAAGGAAGCCCGGGACACGAGCTGTGAGCAAAACCCTTTCTCCTGCTCGGCTATAGTCTGCTCAAGGATATCAGCGGCATGTTTGGGTGGCCGCGATCGCATGAGGTCGTCCACAACTTGCTCAGCATCAGATAACCAAACCTCCAGGGGTTCGACCTGCTTGGCTGGAACGGGACGGAATAAGCCAGATGGCTCGATCTCGCCCACAATGGGGTAGCCAAGGATCATGCATTGCGCTTGGAGGAGGTCCGGCCAGCGGAGGAGCACAGTCATAACGCCGATGAACCCTGGACGTTTGGAGGAGGCCACCCGGTGAGCACTCTCCGAACGCCAGTGAGCTAGCGCTTCCTCAAGAGGCTGAACTGCCTTGGCCACAGACCGCAGGATCTGCCGCAGCTTCGCAGCATAGGACGGCATGTACTGCTGCCAGGCGCAGATGGCTTCGATGACATATAACACATCGGTCTCAGGCCAGTCAACAGCCTGGAATGGTGAAGGCAACAGGGCAGAAGCCGCCATATGTCCCTCCTTGCCAAGCCCAGCTGCAAGCAAATGGTCCAGTCCTTTGGACGAATCGGCTGGATGTCGTTGGCCTGTCAAACCAGAGTAAACCTGCGCTCTGTCAGTGCGAGTCAAGTGGTGGGGTCCCAATTCGTCAACAGGCATCCCTCGCAGGCGGCACCATGCAGGATACCCTTGAAGGGCTGGAAGGTCACAGTGTCCCAGACGACGTTGTACTTCCATCATAACGCTCGGAGCGACGGCACAATCAGGAAACAAACCAGGCACTGCCGCACTTGTCAAGCCGGGAAAGGTGGCCAATCGGTGAGGAGCCCATACGGTGTGCGTCAAGCGGTCGTGCAACTGGAGCTCATCCACCGAGGTCAAGCTAGGCACCATCTTGGCCTCCATCAACTGGGGCAAAAAGCACAGCACGGCCAGCAGCGAAAAAATGTGGAAACCATTGCCCAAAAGACTGTTCTGGCGCTGTCGTTGGAGAAGAGCTGTGCCAGGGACCACATCAAAACTCGAGGGGGGCATGCCCATCAGTTGAGCTCTTTCTGTTGGCAATGGTTGGCGCCAATCCTGGTCCCTCCACAACAACGAGCCTTCTTCATAGGCCGAAGGGGGGAACCGGCGATCATCCTGCATAAAACGGGCGACAGCAGCTGCTGATGACCCTGACGTCCTGTCAGTGGGGTGGAAAAATTCCCGGGTGAATGGATGCATGGCCCCTGACCCGCCCGCTTTAAGCACGGCCTTGGGATCCAAGAGCGGCTGGTAGCCCTGGTGGAAGAAGCACTTGTTTGGCAGAGGCTTCTCCTCAGCCTAGGCCAATGTAGGTGCACCGTCACAGTGTGGGACCCAGTCCCAACACTGTGGGGGCTGAAGATGGGGCCCAATGGATGTCCGCTTGGAGGAAAGCCAATACAAGCACCTCCGTTGCACCCAACCGCACGTGGAACTGTCGATGAGGATTGGCTCACCCCCCAGCCAGCTGCTGTACGAGGACTGCACTGTCAACGGCATGCTGCCGACATTCTCCAGAAAAGTGACAAGCTCCTTGTCAGCCATCTCCGGCAGCGCCAAAAATTCATCCCGAAGGCGACAAAGCTCCAAGGGTTGGCAACTGCGGGGGTCTTCCAAACCGCGCCTGGCCAAGTTCAAGGACGTGTTGCCCTGGCAGGGACTGCCACCCCCCATCAAGACGCCCCTCAGGTTGCGTCGCTGCAAGAAAGGGACAAAGGCCTGGGCCGTCAGGAACTCGACCTGGGTCACATGGACGATGTTGGGCATGTTATGGTGGGCCACCTCACGAGCTACATCATCACACTCAGCGGCTACTGCGTAGAAGTGCATGCCCAGTTGGAGCAACGCCACACAAAGGCCGGAATAGCCAGCCCACAAATCCAAAACAAGCCAGGTACCTCGGGGAGGCGTAGTCCAGGGCACTTGACAAAGGTCACCACGGCCCCTTCAGGATACCGGTTTTGACGCCTGCAAGCGGTGAGGCAACTCTGTAGCACCGACTGAAGTAGAAGGGCTGGCATCATGCAACAAAACTGTGCGCGCGGGTACTCTGCTTTCTGGTTGACTGGGTGTCTTGTAAGCCCGGCGCTGCAGGGGGGAGTTACGCTCCAAGGAAGGCACTGCTGATTCAGGCTGTCGGCCCTGCAAAGAAGTAGACATAGAGCGGCCCCCCCGGGACCCAGTCCCCAGGGGGTGCTGTCCCTAAGAGGTGTGATGCTCGAGCCTCGTGTGCTTCTTGCTCAAGCACGGGCCCCTTCATCCATGCGAACATCACAGCAATGCAAGGCCTGGCAAGCCTTATCACTGCAGCCTCGGCCATCATTCCAAGGCTTGCAGATCTTCTGCCCCCCTTTCACTTGGCTCACCGTCCGGAAGGAGTCTCCTTTGACCTGACGCTTGCGGTCATTGAGCCCTGGCTGGACATCTGCCGGACGCTTGCCAGGTTTGGACTCCGGGAGCTCTGCAAGTGGTTGTATAGCTGGTGATCTCCACTCCAGGTGCGTCTCCCGCAAGGCGCTGTCAAGAGCCCATTGTCCTGGTTGTCCACGCCGGATATACGTGGCCATCTTGCCACGAGTCAGGGCGTCGTTTCTTTGCAACCAAGCGAGGCTGCCACCCCCGAATTCCATGGTGTCCTTGAGGGCCCTGTCGCAGTAGTGCAATGCGCAAGAAAGGTCCATGAAGAGCACGTTCTGCTTGTCGGCCTGCACCAAGTAGTTGCCAGCCCAGGCCCAAGCATGTGCAAGGGCTCTCATGGCAAAGTAGTAGTCCGTGACGGACCGGAGGCTCACAGAGACCTCCTTCTCCAGCTGCAACTGGAGGCCGCCAGGTAGAGCAATGGAGTCACTGGGTTTGGGCTGGGCCATCGTGAGCACGGATCGCACCTTCTTCATATCTACCACCGTCATGGTGCCCTTCTTGAACTCCCTGTAGATGCGCGCTCGAAGCTGCTCGGATGGTTCAAGCACCGAGTCGAAGGTCAGGTTATAGCGGCGGGTCCAGTCTGAGTTCAATTGCTGGACGGTGCTATCGGGCAAAGCTTCGTCCAAGTCCTCCGTCTTGGGGGCGGTCTGAACGGCCTGTTTCAAGGCCTGTTGACCGGCTTCGAAAGCGCTCTTGAAGCGCGCCTCCACTATCCGGTTGTCCTTGAGCTCTGGGACTTGGGACAGCAAGTCACCCAGTGACTGCTCCCAGTCACTGGCTTTGACCATGTAGATGAAGTCGTCCAGGGTCGTGACATGATGAACGCGAAGGTAGGCATCAGTCCATTCCGTCTTCAGGCTGGCACCGAGGAAGCAAGCGGCAAGGCCCTTGTCATCTTGACGCACGTCTATGCGAGACATCGTGGGCACGGAGCTTGGGCCACAAAAACCTATCAGGGTACACATGACATGTTTCACAATGATCACGCCGACCCTAACAAGTCTTATGGCTCATCAAATCATGACACGCCGGGTGATGCCAACACACTGCACACATCAAGGAGGTGGCAGGCGCTAAGCTTTTCAACCCGGTGATAGGTCAATGCAGCCACTGGCAATGTTCTGCCAAAGCGGGGTAAAGACCTCGTGGCACACGGCCTAAGCAGCGCTGACAAAAGTCTGTACGAGGCGTCAGGGTGAACCCGCGGCCGCGCTCAGCAGGGTCTTGTTGGTATGCGAAGTCTCTGCACCACGGTATGGCTCGTCCTTCAACTTCTTCACGAATGATGTGCAGCTTCTTGCCCTGGCGCAGCCAACCAAGCTCATCGGGCGCTGAGTCATCAGCCACCACCCCACATAGGTCCTGGCCATCTGCGGATTCATCCGAGGCTGAACTGGAGTCGTCTGTCGACGTGTCCAGACTGGACGATGAGTCGTCCTCCACTGGTAACTCAGCAGGTGGAGGGGGCGCCCGGGCCTCCACTCCATCCAAGGCTCCAGGGGCGACCTCAATGTCCCCGAGGGATTCCGTCTTCGCCAGGGGCGTCAGATCCTCTGGAAGGGCTTGATGCAAGGCTGCCACCTCAGCCCACTGCCAAGCGTCCCGGCAAAGGAACCCTTCGGCCGTCATAGCGAGCTCCTGCCTCTTCTTCTGGTAGAGGGCAAACAGCCTGTCGACGCACCTCTGCTTAACCTGGAGGGATCTGAGGACGCGGGAACCGGCATAGTGGACCCCCATCGGCATGGAACCCTTGGGTTTCTTGGAGGAAGGGTCCCTGCCGCCCCCAGATGGCAGTTCTGTCCAGTTGCCCACCGACTGCAGGTCAAGGTCGGGGAGTTCCATAACGTTCGCCATCGTCGGTAGGAACCTCCTCAGCTTGTTGTATGTTGCCGATTGGGCTTGGGTGAAGTCGACACCCACTTGAACCAAGGCACCCCGCATCACTTCGAGGAATCGTGCTCTGGACATGGCCTTATTGGTGATAAAGGCTGTTGCCTCTGTGACCTCCCAGAGGTCCTCGGCATTAAGCTCCAGGGCCGGCATCAAGAACGTATGGTCCTTGGGGAACTCGTGGTTGAAGAACTCCTGGATGACCTTGGTCATGTGGTGGCCGTGCATTGTCACTTGCGGGAGGCCCCATCTGTAGCCAGGTCTAGCTCCTTGTTTCCGAGCCTTGCCCTGGGAGCATTCAAACTCCAGCCATGACCCATGGACGCTCACAAGCCGGGAACGTTGCACGTGCTCGAAGCGAATGCAGCCAGTCGCAACCATGAGGAGGAAGGCCACGAGCAACTTGTGGGAGCCTTGAACCTTGGCCATGAGGAGGGCCAGGTTAATAAATTCCCATGGCTCGAGCTCGGGTGCCTGCTTCCCAGTATGATGCACGGCATGGAAGCGGAAGTGCTTCACTGACAAGTGGTCCATGGTGAAGGCTGCTCCGAAGTTGTCAGCAAACCATCGCAATGATGCGTGCATGCTGGAAGCAGCTGTAGGTCCACCAGCCGATACCTCCCTCAGGAACTCCGCCAAGGCTAAAGGGCTCGGCTTCTTGGCATCGATGTCCCTGGTGCTGCAAAACCGCAACCACCGTCTCAGTGCTGCCGCTAGAGCGCCCAGCCTCTGCCCAGAGAGTCTGGACGCCCCTGTCATCAGCGCCTGTTAGAAGCGTTGCAGCTCCATCGGATCGGCTAGCTTGGCTGGAGACATCTGCAACTCCTCCAGGTCGACCACATACTCAACAACCAAGGTGAACAGCTTGTCAAGTTTCGCCTGTTTCACGGCATCCTCCTTGGCATGAGGGTCCTGTTGGGCCGCATGGGTCACCAGTGGTGCATGGAGCGGGGCTGCAAGACCAGTCGGTGTCAGCCGTCGCACTTGTTGGAGGGCGGTGCCACTGGGACGCTCTCAGGAGTGACCACAACTGACCGAGGTGGGCCACCCACGCTCGACAGCCGTTCACGAGCCACCTCCACGCTGAGGGCTGCGGTGGCATTCTGGCTGGCACTGCGTGCATTTGTCCATGCGACTGCAACGCGAATGGCCTCCTGAGCATCCAGCTTCTGGCCCAAGATACTCTCGAGCTCCTCATAGCACTGCTGGGCCGATGGCCAGAAGTGGTGGAAGTCACCGGTGGTCTCAAGGCCCAGACTGGCGAGAGCTCCCTGAACCTCGGGCGCCAGCTCTCTGACCACGTGCCGCAGTGCTGGCTCCATCTTGTTCTCCCGGGCGTGCACCACGCTCGACGAAGGCCATGAGCTCGTCGATGTTGAACGTCCCGTCGGCGTGCTTGGGCACTTCTGAGGTCGGGAATCGCGGGGGCTTTTCATACCTGACGAAGTTCCCATGTTCGTCGTGGTGCCCGGTGACTTCGAGGATCCCGGCGTTGTCGGAGCGCTCGCATCCTTGTAGAGCAGGCTGCTGGCGATGCAGTCCGGGCACAGGAGCCGCTCTCTGTCGCACCGGGTGCAGATCGCGACAGGGGTGTCTTCGCACCCTTCGCAGAAGCTCCCCGCCCAGGTACCGCAGTGGGCACAGGGCTGCCCGCCCACCGCTCTGACGGCAGCTTGAGCGCCCCAGGTTGCCACCGCAAAGGCTTCCTTGGCACCTGGGATAACCACACGCTCCCCCCAGGTGAGCTCAGCCACAGCTACACCTGGGTGGAGGCGCAGGAACGCCTTGGCCTCGTCTTTCCAGCCACCCCAGTCGACCGCCGCCAATGCCATGCAAAGAAAGACAAAGGTGGGGACGAGCTGGGTGGCTTGAGCCAAAATGGTTCAATGCCACCAGCTGTCCCCACAACCCTTTCAAATCACATGAAGACCCTTCCCAACCAACCTACTCACATGTAAGATAAATATATATATACTATATGTATCTATATGTGTGTGCGAGCAGGGTTACAAGAGATTTCAAAAGGCCCACGAGGCCCCCTTCAATTTCGAAAGTTCGTGAACAACTTACGACATACAAACCGCCTGGGAGGCGTTCACAAGGCAAAGAAGACGTGGTCCCCTGAAATAGTTAAAAGTGGACTGATGTTGTGGCTCTTCACTGAAAGAATTTCAGAGTCTTCAGGGGCACCCTTGACAACAGCATCCAACTGGAAAAAAACCGTCACTTTCCGCTACTTCACCCACGGCATCTGTGGGCCATCCCTGGGTTCCCAAACGCGCCAACCATACGCCCCCCTGGGCTTGCGCAAGAAACGCCTTGCAAAGACATAGCGTGCGGATGCTCGGACCTATGTCTCTCGTTTTTGTAAGCCAAGGGCACTGCAAACAAATCAATGAAAGGTTTCCAGGAAAAAATCTGGAAAGGAAATTCTGCACATCGAAGATATTCTGTTCACAAAATGGGGCAAATAGTATGTAGGGGAACGCCAGCCAGCTATTGCTGTCCACTTCTTGTGAACCACAAACAGTGGCCATGTTCAGGATCATTCTCCTCCTATCCACTCATATGTACGGTTGTGTCCAAGTTTGGAACCCCTCCCATGGTTTGCCCCACCACGACGCCCCGTGGGGCACTCATGCGTCAACGGTGTGCCAACTTGCTCAAAGACTACTCTGGAGCGAATATCTGGCACCTGGCGGTCTGATGGTTTTTCACCTGCCTTGAGAAAAAAATCCTCAAAGTGATTGTATGAATGATCATCCCTCAAGGACAATAAAATCAGCTTCCAAATCCCTTTTGGGATTCCTGCGAACTGTCAAGGCGTCTCGTTGATCAAAGCGAGATGTTTCTTGGGCAAAGGTTGAAGCAGTTGACGTGAATCCTCTCCTTGAACCTTTAAAGTGACATAAAGAATCATTGAAGATATATGAAGCGGATTCAGGATGCCAAACACTTCCAAAAAAATCAGCTCAGGCAATATCCAGCTCTGTGTCTTGAGGCCTGGCGCTCAATGGCCGAATACAAAAAGTCCGCGGCTTCCTTCTTCTTCTCCTTGTACCTTAGCCGTTCTGCCCCACGTGTGTGATCAGCTGGGCTATCTCTCGTTGAAGTTCCGGAAAGCCCGAGTGGTTAATATGTAGAGGTGTATGTGGTGTATACCCTATATCCCCCCGTAACTTTGAGACGCTCACATCAATGTCCTACATCCTGTTTTCTTGGGATGAAGTCCCGCAGACTGGAACTTGGGTGCCTTCATGAGCGTTTCGTGACCTGTGGCCATTGCGTTTGAGTACCTGGTCATGGAAAAGTGGCGTCAGTAATCCCACTGAAATGAGAAGGCTCATGCGCACCCAGCAGTGATTTGTGACCTCTGGGCATCCTGGGTTGATCCTAGCTTTGCTCAAAGGCCATTCAGCAGAAGCAAAAAGGAGTTCCTGTTTCCCTGTGATGGCAGGATTCTGCTGATTGCATCCCCGCATCTGCGGAATGAATACCCATCAAAACCAAAGGTGGGTAAGTTGAGTATTCCATTTTCATTGAGATCTCCATGTTGGCCATGTTTTCCCCAACTCCTGGTAGCTGAACCCCCCACCTTTGATCGGACCAAATCCCCACGGCCAGCCCATCGTTTCACGTCTTCACTGCCGCGCCACTCAGCACTGCGCCGGTCCAGGTGCTCCCAGTCGGCCCAGCGTTCCGTTGCGGGGGTGTAGGCGTGGAGGCTGTGATAGCCCTGCCATAGGCATCTTGGATGACTTTTTATGCATTCCCACCGGTGAATAGCCAACAAAATGTGATATGCTATGTGAATCTAAATGACACAAATGGGTGCACCAAGTTGCCTTCCGGCAGAACTAAGCACCTTTGATGCATTAGTTTTTTTTGGGCACAGTCGGGCACAGTCTTACTGCACCAAAAAAAAACATGCGCTGAGAGGCAATGGCCTGCGCAAGGCCAGTGTGTCATGGAATTTGTGGATGCATCTAGATGAATGGGATGATGCTGACCAACAGCTTTCGCATGCTTTCGCCATGTCAGTGGCATACATTTGGATACTTTGGATACATTTGGTACATGACAATCATCCCAAATCCAAATGCAGGAAATCCTGGAAAATCGGTCACATCGGTCACCCCACTGCGCCGACCCTGCGCCGACCTTCGGCGCGAAGTCTGGGTCCAACAAGGATGGCACGCTGACCAGCACCACATTCCTGGGCAAAAAAAACGAGAGCACGCTGCAACCCAAAAAAAGGAAGACAGCTTGATCTTCAGTGAATTCACCAGAAATGTCGTTTCAACATGTTTCAACCCATCTTCAATTAATATTATTTAATCTTGCCATACTTCTTCGATACTCTTCCATACTCTTCCATCTTCCAGAAATATTGATGGCGCCAGAGGGGAAAAATAGACACCTGTTCCAGGAAAAACCCATCATCACTCGGGACGAGTCGAAGCCTGCCTGGCTTGCTCCAGATCCGCCCAGTCGTTCACCACGCCCCACTGCGCCGGGAAGTCCGGGCAGTGTTCGGTGGGAAGGCCCTGGCAAAAGCTTGGGATCGTTGCGTGAGGAGATTCGTGCACACAGTAGGCTTTTGGCCTTTTGAAAGGAACCACTGCAAACCAAGAAATGCAAAGCAACCTTGATGTTGTGCAATTTTGCTATGTGTTTCTACATCGTGGATGTGTTTGGTACATGCATGCCTATTCTTTGCGACTAGTTGAGACAGTCTGCACTCTGAATAGGCCAACGCTCTGACAATCAATCAATAATCATGGCACAGGAGTCTCCCAATCTCTCCCGAGGAAGAAATGTGGAGCGATGCGGAACGCAGAAGGACAAAGCGCATTTTCAAAAATGCCCCGAGTCTGCACGAGGCGATGCTCTTAGCTGAAAAATGCGAGAAATCAAATTACAAAACGGCTACGGCTATACTATAAACCTCTCAGCTGACGTCGCACTTGAGAGCTATCACCGCCATGCTTTGGACAGCCCCAGGTGACAAGCGAACCATCTGCCAGGATCGCAGCAAATGCACGGCGTGTGGCCTGAACCTGCTGCACCTTCCTAAGCTGCAGTTGGACTGCGGAGCTGTCACCGCCACAGTCTGGATTGCCCCAGGCAACAACCGATCCGTCGACGATCGCCAAGGCGCGCTCTGTGCCCTGAATCTGCTGCACACCTTCAAGTAGATACTGGACCTGAGAGCTGTCACCGCCCTTGTCTCCATCGCCCCAGGTATCAACGGATCCGTCGGTCCGAATTGCAGAAAATGCACCTTTTGTGATCTTTTGTGGCCTGACGCTGCTGCACGCCGATGAGCCGATCCCGCACTGTCCTGTAGATTTTAGTGAAGAGTGTGCAATTTCGACTCTCAACGATGTTGCAAGTGAAGATGGCTTTGCCGAGCGGACACATGGAGAACCTTGTCGTGCCGCAGGCCGCAAACTTGGGAGCTGCGGCAGATGCCCATTGGCTGAACAGCTGCGAGACGGGGACCAACTCACTGCTGTTGTGCTGGAGGCGAAGCTGGCAGCAAGGGCCTTCGCGATGATGACCTGGGGCGAGGGATGTGATGCAGGTTCAAACCACAGACTATGCATTTGCTGCGATCCTTGGGGATGGCTTGGTCGTGACGTGGGGCCACAATGGAGGTGACAGCTCTCAAGTCCAACATCGGTTCTGGGGCGTGCAGCAGATTCAGGATTCAGGCAACACACTGCGCATTGCGACGAGCCGGGCCGACGGATCAGTTGTTACTTGGGGCGATCCAGACCGTGGCGGTGACAGCTCTGCAGTCCAGCATCAGCTGAGGGATGTGCGACAAGGCTAAGGCAACGATGTTGCTTGTGCGGCTGTCCAGACGGATCTGTTGTTACATGGGGCCGTTCTGGTTGGGGCGGTGACGGCTTTCCAGGAGCGGAACATCAGGTGCAGCAGATTCAGGGCAGGGGTGCGGCCTTTGTCGCGATCCTCCAGGGTAGTTCAGTAAGTTCAGTAGTTGCATGGGGCAATCCATACATCATCTTGAGCCCCCCATTTCACCAATCAACCAATCCTAAAGTGCAACCTCCTTCGCAACTCATTTCTTCCAACCAAGCCGTGTGAGCACACGCACCAAAATGAGTTACGAATATCTTCCAATTTTACAACTAAAAATGAACCAAAAAATGGTCCGCCCTTGGCCCATCATCTGATCATCCAAGAAAGGCCCACCTCCCCCCGGAAACCCAGGTGGATGTGGATGAAGGAGTTCAATGGCTCCAGGTCCGCCCATTGCTCCTGTTCCAAGCGACCGCGTTTACACGAGCTTCTGAACCCCCACTCTTCATGTCACTTTTCTTTCCACATCCTCCAGAGAGGAACCAGACTGTACACACACATACATACATACGTATATATATATATATAATGTATATATTATATATAATACATATTGAGTAAAAGATATTGAGGCCGCAAAACTTGAGGCCGGGGGTGGATGACGAAAGCTAGCAGGGTAGGAGAAAGAAGGAAGGGAAGAGGTGAGTTGCGGAGGGACTGTCATCATCGTGTCGCGGCATTGTTCGTCCCAACGAGGATGCAACAATGATATATTGATATATGATATATAACAATGATATATATGGGGGAGGGGGCAGGGGGGGGCCCTTTCGCGGGAAAAATCACGTGATGTCCTTGGGGAGCCCCGGAATACGTGCTAAAGCAAGAAGACTCTAGCGAGCTGACGCTAGCTTTCGTGATAATGACAATAATTGCCAATAATGATAAAATGTAATTGAATAACGATGATGATGATGATGATGACGATGATGATGATGATGATGAATGATGAATGATGAATGATGAATGATGATGATGAATGATGAATGATGAATGATGAATGATGAATGATGAATGATGAATGATGATGATGATGATGATGATGATGACGATGATGATGATGATGATGATGATGACGATGATGATGACGATGACGATGACGATGACGAGGACGATGACGAGGACGACGATGATGATGATGATGATGAAGATGATGATGACGAGGACGAGGACGAGGACGAGGACGATGGAGAGGACGATGACGATGATGATGACGATGATGATGACGATGATGATGATGATGATGATGATGGTGGTGATGGTGGTGATGGTGGTGGTGGTGGTGGGGGAGGGGGTGGGGGGGCCCCCCTTTCGCGTGAAAAATCACGTGATGTCCTTGAGCAGCCCCCCCAATACTTGCTAAAGCAAGAAGACTCCAGCTAGCTGACGCTAGCTTTCGTGATTACGACATATAGACAGCATAAACTCTCTCATCAACAGTTTCAACATCACGCCCGGCCTCGAAAAATTTGTGCGCCTCGCGCAGCTCCGAAGTGCCTTTGTCCGACGGCAGCAGCTGCCGGGTGATGCCTACGTCGGTGCCGCTGACCACGGCCTGGAGACGGGGGTCTTAATGATTTCATCAACCATCGGCGAAATCACTGGATTAACATGGATTCACTATCATGAATCCAATGTTAACTAGCATGATAGTTTGGTTCACTGGATAGTTACTGGATGTTACAGAATTAACATGTTACTGGATAATTATTCACTATCATGATTCTTGGGGATTCTTGATCTGTTTGAAGAATCCAATAGTATAATAACTTTATCCTACATTCTGAAGATTGATTCTATGAATGTAGGATTAACACTGGATTAACTATCATAAAGAAGGATTTAAAAAAAGAAAACTGATCAAACAAGATCAAACCATCAAGAGTTTGGATCTCACCATCACAAATTGTGGATTTTTTCCATCAACTTTGGGGATTGATCGGAATTTCACCGTCGACTTTTCGGATCCAAGGGGTTGTAGCGTCGTAGGTACCGTCGTGTATCCTCTGGTAATTTGACCTCTGCCAGCTCAGGGCTCGAAGTGATGCAAATCATGGGG